TATATATATATATATAATTGCGTACATGTGGATGGTTGTTTTCTATAGCTGAAAAAAACTAGGGAACGCAGAACAATGAAAAAATTACTGAAGGCAGTTCAAATACCAAGCTAAGTTCCTATCCATTCAGTAAGTGCTTGCATCAGTAAGTGTTTGCATCAGTAAGTGCTTGCATCAGTAAGTGCTTGCATTTGCCTTACAAAATTAGAAAAATAGAAAACACTATCGGCCGTTTACGATTTTCCCTTTCGTCATTTCAATGCAGTGTTCAAGACATATTTCCGTTTTCCTTGATAAAAGAATTGTTTTTCCCCCGGAAATAAACAAATCTTCTTTTTGCTCCTAGAGATTACATTTAGGAAAGCTCGTCACTTTGGCCGCCTAAATCGTCCGAACCACTGAACTTTCGAACTTGAAAAAATTAACGGGGATTCAGAATCATTTAAGGGGAGCACTGTTATACAAAGGAGTCTGAAGCCAGTGTAGTTTACTTTTCAGTTATTTCTTAGTTTCGTTTGAATCTAATCTTGGGAAAGTCCGTCTTCTAAGACGCCTTTGTAAAACAATTTTGACTTCCGTTCACATGCTGTGCGCACTGTTTCCACAATGGCTTGACTATTAAATCTGTTCATCAAACGGGAAACCCAGCTAGTTTAATATAATCCTTTGTTTAAAGTGAAGATTGATATATTATCGATTCTTTCCACCTCGTTTCTTGCTCCTCAAAAATCAATGATGCAACTTCTTTGTCTGTCTGTGAGTTTGCCTGACAGTCTGTCTGTCTGTTATTTTCTGTTTTTCTACCTGCCAGGCTATATCTATCTATCTATCTATCTATCTATCTATCCATCTATCTATCTATCTATCTATCTATCTATCTATCTATCTATCTATCTATCTATCTATCAATCTCTCTATTTGTCAATCTATCTATCTACCTTAGCGTACAAGAAACCATGCAGTGTACCCGCTCGCGGCGTGGCGAAACTGGAGGGCTGACTGGGAGCCTAAGTGTGCATGCGGCTATGCACGCAACGCAAGGCAAATGGTAGAGAAACACACCCACTCTCTCCCCTTCTATCCACTCCCCCCCCCCCCCCTCTCTCTCTCTCTCTCTCTCTCTCTCTCTCTCTCTCTCTCTCTCTCTCTCTCTCTCTCTCACACACACACACACACACACACACACAAACTTTATAAGTTAACACTAATTTATGTAGAACATCCGATACATTGCCTCCAATTACATGTACTTGGGGTGAACTATCATCGTGAAAGTCCAAACGCTGATCATTTAATACCCCATCCCTTCCTTATTCAGGATGTCGAAGAACATAAATGGGCTTTAAATCTATCCGCACTTATACAAGTGTTGGTGAGAAACATGAAAAAAAAGAAAAATACAGATCTTAGATATTGATCTTGAATCTAGATCTATGAGTGATAAACAAAACGAAAAAATTGTTTTCATCAATAGGCTTATGACTACAATGTTTGCTGGTAAAACATAAATATAGTGAATACTTGAAGATAAAAGTTAGAGATTTTGTAGTACTGCTTGACGTTAATCGGAAAGAAAACATAAATCTAGCCAAAGGAAAAACAAACTGAATATGTCACAAAAGACAAGCATGATTTTACATTGATCGAGTGTCTCTAGAGTAGAAATGACCAATACTTTCTGGTATTATAGTAGAATTCTAAGTGAGCTGGACTTCAGTTTATCATTTTGGTGTGATAAACCATACATGTTTTAGTTTGCTGAAAATTTGTACTACAATACAGAATAATTGGCTTGCAGCGCAGTTATATATCAAAGAAGCTGTTGTGGCCGTATACACTGGAGATAGTAGTAATAATATGAAATCTGTGAAAGGGAAGCATGCCAGTTTGTCACAAACCCAGTTTGTCACAGGCCCACGACCCCGCATCGACTGTGCCCTGCATGACGGAAGTTATCACTGAAACTCTCAATAAGAGTAAAAATGAATGATTGATTAATAGCATCATGAATTGAATTTTATTTTTCTATTGTTTTTAACGAAAGAACACTCCTTGTTCAAATTTTACAGAGTATTTTCCTTTGATTTGCATACAAAAAGGAAGAAATATGAACAACACAAGCTGAATTGATATAAAAAAGAGACTATCTTTACAATACCAATATGAACGTGGAGAATTAAAAAACTTAAGTTACGACTGCAGTGTTAAAGGGCTGTAATTATGACTGTCATCAATACTTATATCTATATACTTTAATAAAAATGTGACAAACTGGGCCTATGTCAAACTGGGCAGTGAATAGGCCTACTTTTTCATCAAAAACTTAGTAAACTTGTGCAAGAAAGAAAGACATTTCAACGAGAAAAATAACAGAATAGATAGATCAATAAATAAGTAAAATTAATTTAAAAATCAGCTACTCGGGTCCATTGGAAAAGGCATACATACATGTATATTTGTCTCCTTTATAGTTATAGGTCCCACAATCCACTCTAATGTTGTGCTGCCTTTGTTGATTTGGACGAGAGCTTCGTTGCCTTCCTACTCGACCCACAGCCTTGACTGTTATATTGCTGCAATTCTGAACGGCAAATCTTTTCAGGAAGATGTTGGCAATGCATGTGAGGGTTTTCTTAGACACAACGAGATTTAAGTTAAAAGTGTCCACAAATCGTCTCATGATTGTAGCCAACCGAGCTCGACAGAGTTTTGAAACTGAATTTGTAAAGAAGTGAAGAGCTTCAATTGCATTATATCACCCTCACTTGCAAACAGGTACATATAAATCTAGATGCAGCAACCATGTATAGGTCCAATAGGCTGAGAACTGAAGAGTGTAAGCTTTATTTTATCCTCATCCATTGCAACTACACCATCATGTGTTGTTGAAGATTTTAAAGAAATGACAAAGTTTTTCTCGAAAATTGCTGATTGATGTTTGCATTGCAGAGCAAGTCAACGGCTTCAATATGTCCATACTCCGACCTCTGAAGTCACTGGTGGAGTTTTGTGTTGTTCTTGAATGAGCAACATTACGCAGTGTAGATGGGGGTACACTAGGAAAAATATTGGGAGGAACAGCAAGAGATGGATACCTAGATTTTCTGATCATAGGAGCACCGGGTGGTCAGTGTAAAGATCTACAAACACCCAAATGCTAAGTCACTTCATTGTGTTTCCGGTTGTGCCTTGGCATGCTGTCTATACCCACTTCTTACATTGTTTGGGGTCACTAGGAAAGGAATACACACTGACGTCCTTGTCCGATCCTCTTTTACTGTCATACTTTGAGGAGCATCCATACATGGGACACTTTTTTGTCATGATGGCCCTTGCAGACACAATAAAACACACCTTTTATCCGTCAGAAATTCACCCTGTAGGCCCACACATTCAAAATAAATCTATCTTAGTCCCTAGATCAGATCTAGTATAATAATGTTAGAACACAATGTGAAGAAATCTTACTGTATAAATACCGGTACAAGAATAGGCAACAAGTACCGGTAACAAGTGCGTTGTGTTAAATGCATGCACACGCACACTAATAGGACTACTACACACTACACACAAGGTAAGACAATAGGCCTTGCTCCTAATTGAGTAATTGAGTTTCGCACGAACAATGCAGCGAGCGAATGGCAGGCGAGAACCCAGCCTCACAGATTCCTGCCTGGGAGGGCTGTCGGGACGCATGGTTTCTTGTACGCTAAGGCCGTGACCTATCTATCTATCTGTCTATCTATCTATCTATTTAGCAAGCTAGCTCTAGCTAGCTGGTTGTCTTCATCTCCAACAGATGATTTTTCCGTCTCTACATTTTCACACCAGACGTTAATGCTTGCCTGTTTTCTTGGGTATTTTTTCTCACATTTTAACTTTCTTTTTTTCTTTGTCTCTTTTTTATTTGGTTGATTCTTCGTTTCTTCTGCCAACAACAATCCCAAGTTTTAAAAAAATGATAATAACCAACAGTAACACCACAATGACACCAACAATAACAACATCAACACCATCAACGACAGCAGCAGCAACAATAATAACAACAACATCAGATATATCATCTACATCACCACCACCACCACCACCACCAACAACAACAACAACAACAACAGATATACCATCTACCTCACCACCACCTACAACAATAACAGCAACAACAACAACAGATCTATCATCTACATCACCACCACCTACAACAATAACAGCAACAACAACAATATCATCAACAACAACAACAACAAATCACTCTCCCCTCTCGCAGGCACCACTTGGGGTTTCATCTGTGACGATGGGTTCCGGCCTGAGGCAGCGAGAGTCGCCTGTCGTCAGCTGGGCTACACACACACCACTGGCTCTTCTGGCGTCATAACGTCCAGTAATCACTCCTCCGTCGACCTGGAAGACTGGATGAGAGGTTACGAGATCGTGCTTGATGACGTCACGTGTGACGGTGGAGACGGAGGGCTCCGATTGGACAGCTGTTCTCACGCTCTGATTGGTCACCATGATTGTCACGTGACTGAGGCTGTGTTTATAAGTTGCTCCCCTGCTAACCAGACGGGTTAAGAAAAAAGCAATGGCTACCTTAGAAGTACACAATTCTATCTGCTTAGTACCTAGTTTTGAGAAATTGGACGTTTGACAAAAAATTTGAATTTCACAACATGTCAAGCTTTTTTCGAATGCAATTCTTTGAATATCTTGAAAACAGCTCCAAATAATCTTACGATTTCAACAGAGCAGATAGAGCATTTAATATGGTTTCTCACCTCATAGATCTAGTCTTGGTAGTTCAAAACGGCCCGAAATGTCAAATAGAACTTTGTAATTCCAAGGTAGCGACTTGGTGAGCGAATCTAACCATGTCCCGCCAATTTAGGTCAAACATTTTGATATTTGGGGTGGGGGGGGGGGTGTAAATTCTTTCTTATTATCTTCCACAATTGCTCAAATGCGTATGGACTCTTCTTTTTGCTTGTAATACAGGGTGAGTCAAAATTATGTTCACACTAGTTTGTGAGCAAAAGAGAGAGATATATATAGATGAACTCCAGGACAAGACACAAGGTGTCAGATCAAGATTTCCCCGTGAAATGTGTGTCGTCATGGTTTTTTAAAAAATGTGCTTTTGATCGTTGGAGGGTTGAGGGGGGTTTTTGTTTTTGTGTGTGTGTGTGTGTGTGTGTGTGTGTGTGTGTGTGTGTGTGTGTGTGTGTGTGTGAGTGAGTGAGTGTGAGTGTGTGGAAGTGTGTGTGAATGTGTCTGTGTGTTTTATATGTGTTTTGGGGAGAGGGGGGTGCATTGATCATGTTGGTGACCAGGTTAAGACTGTTCAGAAAATTCTGAATAAGTCAAATAGTACATTATTTCTGCCATACCATTAACATATTTTGACTCGCCTTGTATATAGTATCATCAACTGTTATTACTGTTATGAGCGACATCATTTCAGACAAAAGAAATTTTAAAAAATCTAATTTGACGGATTCACGTTTAGGGTCTGATACCGCTTGGGTTTAATTGTTCTGGATTTTGGGATATGTCAATGTTTCTAGACCAATTTCAGTATGACGTTCAGAAGAAGAAGGGGGTGCATTTGTGTAGGACCAAGACAAGAGCAGAGGGGGGGGGAGTGAAAGAGAGAAAAGTGGAGAGAAAGGAAGAGGGCGAGAGATTGATTGTGTGTATATATTACATAACGTATACATTGTGAGCATGTGCAAATGTGCGTATGTATGAGGGTGCTAGTGAGTTTGTGTGTAAAGGCGAGAGCAAGAAATAGAAGGCATGTGTTTTTTGTGTGTGTCTGTGTGTATGTGTGAGTGTGTGATGGAGACAGGGAGAACCAGAGTGAGAGAGAGAGGAAGAGAGAGAGAGAGAGAGAGAGAGAGAGAG